TATGGTTGAATGTTTATGTCCCTCTAAAATTCCTACTTGTTGAAATTGTTACTTCCAAGATTTTAGGAGATGGGATCTTTGGGAGGTGATTAGGTCATGTGAGTTGAATCCTTATGAACCAGAATTAATCCCCCAATAAAAGAGGCCCAAGAGAGACCCTTTCCCCCTGCCACTATGTGAGAACACAATGAAAGGGCATGGTCTGTAAGTCAGAAAGCAGGCTCTCACCAGACACTGAATCTGGCTTGATTCTGGACTTCCCAGCCTCCAGAAATGTGAGAAATAAATTTCAGTTGCTTATAAGCCACCCAGTTCATGGTATTTCGTTAGAGCAGCCAGTTCAAATGGACCTAAGAAAGAAACTATTTAGTCAAAGTCCTTTATCTTATAAAATAAGGAAAATGAGACTCTGGGTCACAAGGCTATTTTATGGCAGAAAGACCAGAACATTGAGATTCTGTTACTTCTTCATTATACTACATTTTAAGAAAATAAAATTATGGTAAATTTCTTAAAATTCAGAGGCGCTGTTTTTTTCTTCTTCTGTGTATTTATTTCTTCAGAGGAGATGCATCAAATTAGTATATTTCTTTGGCTGATAAGCGCTCATCAAGCTCTGCCCATTTACTCATTTATTCTGCATGCTTGATTTTTTTCCCCAAAGGTCATTAAAAAAAACTATTTTTAAGCATTCTTAAACAGCCTAAGAAAACACTTTACCCTGAAAGTGAATAGAGAATACATGTGCTTATTACTAAAGCAAAGACTATGCTTACCAACCCACCATTGTTAGTGAGAATTTAGAATCTTGGCTGACCTCTTACAGAGGTAAAAATCCACCCTTGGTGGGAACAGCTGCGACTGTGAAAGAAGCTACAAATAACATGCTGGGAATTCAGCAGGCACTGTTATTATATCCTGTTTATACTGTCATTTTTCCTATCAGTAGGATATTATTTATACAGACCCCACCCATGAACTTCTTGTTTATCTTATTATAGAAATCCTCTGAATCTATAAAAAGAAACTTCTGTATTTGTTTCTGGAACAAGCACATGTGTTATAATTTTGCACCTCATTACACTTTTTATTTAGCATTTTCTTTTGTTATGCACCACTCGTTCTCATTTTTATCTCAAGGTTGACTTATTTCACATATTAGAGTTGAACTTAAATCTTTTTAAGATAACTTGTTATAAGATTCAGGATAACCACATCCTAAACCTTAAGGTAGATTTCATTAGGTACATATTCTTTGAAGATACACTTGACTAATTTGTTTAAAGACAAAAAAATATGTATATACACTGATGAGGTACTGCAGGGAGTGAGCTCTAGGTGACCAGAAGGCTTCCATACTCAGGTTCACTCTAACCTAAGTGGACCAATTACGAGGACAAGGCTTTATTCAGTTCTACCGCCTCACTATTCTCTAGCTGGATCTCTTCTCTGCAATGAGAAGCCTTGCCCCTGAGTTTAGCTTGATGGCTGGGCAGTCTGGGTAAAAAAATGTTAACACAATAATACACAAAAAACATAGGAGTTCAGTAAATTGACCAATAGGACAACGAACCAATATGGTTATCAATCATCCTCATTCCCCAGGCCTGATATAAACAACTGAAGTAGATAAAGGAAAAATGCAAGTTCCTTAACGGCAAAAATTCACACAGCATTTGTCGAGCAAATGAATTATTATTTTTGGAGAGAGCACACCACTGAAGAAAGTCACACTGGACAAATTTTCACATGTATAGCTTGTGTCAGCATCACCAGTTCTCCTCTTATACTATAAGGTGGCTAGATAAACATGGAATGTTCAGAGTACATGCACAATGCTAGACTCTTTGTGTAAGGAAAGGTCACTCTTGAAGAACACTGCTCTAAAACGCATAACTAAAATGAGTACTAAACCTCAGGGTGATGAACTAAGTGTAATTCATTTCAGAAAAAAAGAGAGGTCTGCAAGGACTAAATTGGTCTAGAAGTTAAAATGAGGGTAACAACTGAGATAATCTTGATAAACAGAAATTCGTAAGGCTGGGATGAGGAGGTGAAAGATATCTTTGGCACAAACAAAACTTCAGAAGCATCCAACTGAGCAGAATTCTGGGAATGGCAAATAGTGAAATTCAGCTGGGGGCATACTGAATAGAGGATGGCAACAAAAGAGAAGACTGGAGTCAGATTACAAGAAATTTCATTTTTTAGACAATGGAGAATCATCAAAAGATATCTGATCAAGGGAAGAGGAACCCAAGCTTTTGGAGTAGAAATGAAGAGGAGGAAGAACAAGTTGGGGTGAGGCTGAAAGGGGGAAATAAGTTTGTAACACCACCAAATCCCATAGTTATGGCAGCAAAAGAAAGGTCCATGTGGTACAATAGATAATAAATGTGTAACTGTATTTTCAGTTCTTGCTTGCAAAAACAGAAGATGATGGTCAGGTGTGGTGGCTCATACCTGTAATCCCAGGAGATCAAGACCAGCCTGAGCAACATGGTGAAACCTCATCTCTACAGAAAGTAAAAAATAGGCTGGGCACGGTGGCTCATGTCTGTAATCACAGCACTTTGGTAGGCCAAAGTGGGTGGATCACCTGAGCTCAGGAGTTCAACACCAGCCTGGCCAATATGGTGAAACCCTACCTACACTAAAAACACAAAAAATAGCCAGGCATGGTAGTGGGCGCCTGTAATCCCAGGTACTTGGGAGGCTGAGGCAGGAGAATCACTTGAACCTAGGAGGCGGAGGTTGCAGTGAGCTGAGATCACACCACTGCACTCTAGCCTGGGCGACAGAGCAAGACTCCATCTCAAAAAAAAGAAAAAGTGAAAAATAAAAATTAGCCAGGTGTGGTGGTGCACAACTGTAGTGCCGGCTACTCAGGAGGCTGATACAGGAAGATCACTGGAGCCTAGGAGGTGGATGCTGCAGTGAGCCATGATCACCGGCCACTGCACTCCAGCCTCAGGAACAGAGCAAGACCCTGTCTCAAACAAAACCAAAAACAAACAAACAAACAAACAAAAACAAAAATAAAAACAGGGGATGGCATCATGATGACCATTACTGAGTGAGGTAATGTTAAACAATGCCAATCCACTGAAGTTAAAGTCAGTAAAGTTTACCAGTCTCCTAGAATAGCATTTCTCAAACTGAAATCACCTAGGCTTGTGGTTAAAATGTAAATTATGTTTCAGCACATTTAGAGCAGTATTCAGTATTTCTACAATTCTAACAAGCTCCCAGGTGATGCCAAAAACGCTGTTCCATGTACTATATTTTGAATAGCAAGATGGGAAAACATATCTTTCAGTTTCCCTTTCCAAAAAAGCAATACTATATTTAATGCATCATGTTTAACCCATTATGGTTTATCCAATGCCTTTAGATATGTTCAAGAAATGCTTTTTAAAGGTATGTTACTATGATTTGTATTAACTAAGGTTGGATGGGTTTCAAAGCTACTATTTTAAAAGTCCTAAATGATTCAAGATTCAGGGAATTCAATACACTAAGAAATGCTTCTACCTGAAAAAAAAAAACAACATTGCAATGCTATTCTGTAACACTAAAATTTTGTCTTTTTAGTTTTAGGCTGGCAAACTGGAAGATACTATTGCTTCTAGTAATGGAGGCTGAAATGTAAGTACTGAAAGACAACATTTCATCTTTTCAAAGTCCAGATCAGTGAGTTTCACTAAAACCTGCTTGACTTGTCCTTACATTGCATTAAGCACCATAACTTGGTCCTTGAAGATAAAGGTTAACAACATATTTTAAATATCCTATAGAAAAACACCTAAATACTACAACAACTAAACTAACACACTATCCTTTGGTATAAGACTTCTACACTGAAGGATACCTTTAATTAAAGTATTTTACCATAAACAGAAGTGTCATTTATAAAAATATATTACTAGTGTAATATATTAAACACACACACACACTATAAAAGATTGGCTGACCTTAGATACTTGGGATGAAATGTAAGACTTCTAAACTCTGGAGTTTCATTTTTAACAAAATTAACGGCCAGTAACAACCTTTTAGGTAAATTAGTTCCAATATGTATCATGGTCTGGAGAACAGAAATAATATTTTTAAATCGTAAGTTATTGTTGAAGATCAGATCCAAGTATTTCATTGTAGAAGGAAGAAAACGGAGGCACAGAGATTAAAAAGCCCAAATTCACATAGCCAGCTAGTAGAATGTTAATAAAAGGAGGGGAGAATTAATTTTTATATCTATCAATATACAAAGTATAACAACGTTGCAACTACAAAATGTATTTGAAAGAGTGTCCAGTTCTTCTAATGACTAAGGCCCAGTTAATTTTTTAAGGATCTTATAAATCACTGAGATCTAAGAAAGGAAGTTCACACATTAACAAACAAAAGACATGTGCCCCCAAATTTAAGAACTTCATTAAAAAATGCAATCTGAATAGAGAATGACAAAATACACCACATACTAAGGATGGGGCTTGGGTGGTGGTGGAGAATGGGATGGGATATAAAGAACAAAGAGAAGACAATGGTAACTCTTCTCAGTAATGTTTCAAGGAATGCTTTTACATATGCAAAAGTGGTTTAAAAAACAACTTTCTTTACCCTCATGAATCATTTTTTTAACTGGTATAATCAGGGATTATATTTGGAGGACTACTACAAAGCTTTTAAAAATATATAGTATAGAAAGCAGTTGGATGTGCATGTGTCATACGCTCTGTTACAATCAAAAGCAAACTATAGGAACCTTTTTTAGCCACAAAATAGGGAATTTTGTGCTTATTACAAATGCTATAAAGTTTACTAGCACAAGTCAAAAAAAATCACTAGAGAAGTTCGGTGATATTGGAGACAATGGGTTTTAAATCACAGGCATACATAATTATGCCTAAGTTGACAGATCTGCACTGCAATGCAGAAATGCAAGCATTATTCCAACATCTGCACCAGAAGGCAGAGACTAGACATGATTCCAGAATAAAGGGCTCTTCAGCTCTTACCTGTTACCTGTGCAACAACTGCTTGGGAAATCCTCCGATTGGCAAGAAAGGCTTTGATTTCCTCTTTTATCACACTGCTGTCCCTCCTAACAAAAACAGAAGACAAGACCAACAATGTATGTTGAAGGTAGAAATCCTCATCTTTGCTAAAAGAAAGGTGAAGCAGAGAGGTGGGGAGAACACAGAAAGGACACAAAAATAAAGGGTAAACAGACCAAACTTGTGTGAAAATATGAAATTACAATGAACCAAGAAACACCAAATATTCAAGTCCTAAAACATCACACCATCAGACAGACGCTTTAGTGAAGACCATAATAGATATAAGTCTCATACCAGAGGATGGTTAATCGCATGCTCTGTATAATTCATATTAGGAACAAGGCTGTCATATGGTATATACAAAGTTTCATTACTGGGGAATGAATGTATCTTACAGAGACAGAAATCCTAGAAAAATAAAGAGCAACAACAACAAATTCAGTTGTGAGCAGACTGTGGGCTTGCATGTTAACTACACAACTGCATGAACAATGTTCATTTAAAAACCTTTAAAATGATTAAGGAAAAAGAAATCATCGTTCCCACAACTGTAAAAATGTTAGCCATTTGAAGAAAGGCTTGCCCTTCAACTTCTTTTCCTGTATAAACAAAAAAAGTGGGATCAGTTGAATATACAGTTTTAGTATTAAAAAGGCATTTATTCATTTTGTATTATATATAAGAATACTTAAAACTACACAATATTCTGTGTCCTTGGGAATACATTATAGACCTCATTTTTCCTCCACTAAAATGCTTGTTCCAAATTTTTACTTAAAGACTCAACAAATTCTCAAAAGACGAGACATCCACAAAAATGACAATGAGTGGCAAGACTTCTGTTATTTCACCAGAACAAGAATTAATAAACAAAAATTATAGTTAAACCCTTAAAACTGACCAATCTCTCTTTCAATGCTTTATCTTCAAAAGGATTACATAAATAGAGCAGTGGTTTCTGTTCAAGCTCAAAAGTAACACAGAATAGAGGTAACTTCTTATCTAACACAGGGGTCAGCAAATTACGGCCTATGGGCTAATTCTAGCCTGCCACCTATTTTTACACAACCTGTGAGCTAAGGATCATTTTCAGAGAAGGACATTTGCAATTGATTTGATGACAGAAAATGCAAACGATAAACACAAACTAAGCAAAATATTATCCCTCCCCTTGCAATTTCACTCTTCTGACTAATAGGCCTATATTTTTAAAAACTCTACCCAATTATTATTATTCTGTATTGACTTTTGTCAATAAAAATTTGTGGCTGTTTGTTTTCTGTCTTGTATGTGGCTCTACATGATATCCCTTTTATTTTTAATTGAGACGGAGTCTCACTCTGTTGCCCAGGCTGCAGTGCAGTGGCACGATCTCGGCTCACTGCAACCTCCACCTCCCGGGCGCAAGCAATTCTCCTGCAGCCTTCTGAGTAGCTGGGGTTACAGGCATGCAGCACCACACCCGGCTAATTTTTGTATTTTTAGTAGAGTCAGGGTTTCACCATGTTGGTTGGCCAGGTTGGTCTTGAATTCCTAACCTCAAGTGATCTTCCTGCCTTGGCCTCCCAAAGTGCTGGTAATACAGGCGTGAGCAACCGCACCCAGCCTATGTCTCTTCATTATATCCTTAAATTTGCCTCTTGGCCACAAAGTCTAAAATTTTTACTCTCTAGTCCTTTAGAGAAGAAGTTTGCTGACCCCTGATCTGAGACAAAGGATCACAAAACCTTAATAATTGTCTTGTGAAAGAACCACAAACTCTTTTTAGGGGTTCACATTTCTCTGTAGACTATTTGGAGGAACTTAAGTATCCTATCCAAAAACAGTGAGTTGTGATTTAACTTGGATGAGGGATTTTAGCTCCCTGATGAGTAGTTGTTACATGCTCTGTTGTAAGGACTCTGTTGTAAGACCATGCTCCCTTTGGGGAATTCTGGAAAAAAACAGAGAGGTGATAGTGGTGAGTTTCCAATCTGTAGCTCTATAGTATACTGCTGATTTATCCGTTGGAAATCCTAACCAAAAATATTCTTAAAGGAAAAAAATAATCAGCTGCCTAATGCAGTATTTAAATTTTCTCATACTGATCTAAATTCTGGTTAGATTCTTCCCAAAATGCCTGTCTATATTTGAAATATTTCTTTTTTTTTTTTTTTTTGGAGACAGTCTCGCTCAATCGCCCAGGCTGGAGTGCAGTGGCGCAATCTCAGCTCACTGTAAGCTCCGCCTCCCGGGTTCACGCCATCCTCCTGCCTCAGCCTCCCAACTCACTGGGACTACAGGTGTCAGCCATTACGCCAGGCTAATTTTGTGTGTGTGTGTGTGTGTGTGTGTGTATTTTTAGTAGAGATGGGGTTTCACTATGTTAGCCAGGATGGTCTCGATCTTCTGACCTCGTGATCCACCCATCTCAGCCTCCCAAAGTGTTGGGATTACAGGCGTGAGCCACTGCGCCCAGCCTGAAATATTTCTTTGAAAAACACGCATTCACATTTTATTTAAAAATTGTGTATACGAAAAAGAAAAAGGTACAAATAAATATATTTTAAAGTCAAACAAAATAATTGCTGAGTAAAATGCAGGTAATGTAGAACAAAAGCTTTCAAATGTGCATCGATAATCAGTGTGCAAGAGATAACTTCAGCACTATTTCAATTGGCTTATATAAACAAAACAAATCATTTGGTTTCTAATATAACTATAAAATTAATCTGAAAATTTTTAAATAAAGTATTGCATTTCTATATATAGAATGATCTTCTAGGAAAATGAAGCTGAATTTAAAAGAATATTTGTTCAGGTTAAATTAAAAAATGTACCTTTGTGGGGGAAAGAATTAAATAGGTTTTTTGACTAATTTACATTGATATTTAAATCAATTTATTTCAAATCAAATTCATTTAGACACTAAATCATACAGAAGAGATAACACTCAATTATTGAAATAGGAAATATCCAGTTTGTAAATTATTCACAGCCTTGCAGCATGATATTATTAAGGACTGCACAAGACAGAAGGAATCCCAAAAATATGTCAAACAGTAGCAATTTTCATTTTTAGATATTTGACAAGTTTCTAAGTATCAATAATGTTTAAAAACATAGAAATAGACAGACACGGTGGGTCACGCCTGTAATCCCAGGACTCTGGGAGGCTGAGGCAGGCGGATCATTTGAGGTCAGGAGTTCAAGATCAGCCTGGCCAACATGGTGAGACCTCGTCTCTACCAAAAATATTTAACAAATAGTTAAATTTAAACAAATAGTTAAAAAAAATATTTAACAAATAGGTGTGGTGGCATGTGCCTGTAATACCAGCTACTCAGGAGGCGGAGGCAGGAGAATTGCTTGAACCCCAGAGGCGGAGGTTGTAGTGAGCCAAAAACGTGCCACTGCACTCCAACCTCGGTGACAGAGCGAGACTCCATCTCAAAAAAAAAAAAAGAAAAAACTCTTTACTGCTTTACCAGAGAGCTTTTTCAAAAAGCAAAAGAAAAGACTTAAAAGATAAGGGTGTGCAAGGGCAAGACATTTAACAAAGCTGGGCCCTGGCTGTATCATCTGATAAAATAAAAGCATTGGCCAGGTACAGTGGCTCACTCCTGTAATCCCAGTTACTTGGGAGTCTGAGACATGAGAATTGCTTGAAACCAGGAGGTGGATGCTGCAGTGAGCCAAGATTGCGCCACTGGGCAACAAAGTGGGACTCCATCTAACAACAACAACAACAAAAAGCATCAATACTCCCTTCATAAGGCTTTTAAAATTTGTCTCCTAGCAATGAAATTAAATATTGTGTGTATACATATGTCTGTAATACATAGAATCAAAAATTCATTGCAAAATTTTTTTTGAAATTGTAAAAATACTAAACATTGACTATTATTTTATAAAACTTCAGAAAGGTTCCCAAGAAAAGAAGAAACAAATGATCTGCTGTAATCATGTAAGACCGAAGTAAACATCTGTACCAGGTACTTTAAGGTGGCATTAAAAGAATTCTATACACAAGCAGTGATGTGTCATTTAGTTGGTTTCACTAGGTATTTTCAAAATACTAAACACATTCTATTTTCATTGTGTCCAATTCTCTTAAATATTTTTAAAAGTTCCATTCTAGTGGGTTAGCTTTGTTGTTCAAACTTTGACATCACCTCCTTCCCTCATTCTCTCCTCATTCAGCCTTCTTTAAGGACCTGCTACTCCTATTGTCCTCATTGTAATCTAAGAATCACCACTTTGTTAGTGTAAAAACTTCATTTACTCTAAATCTAATTATCTCATCTTCTCCCACCCCTCACTTCCTCTCTTCATCTGCAATTTTACATCCTCCTTAAAAAGAATAAATCCCCTCCTTCCTCTCTTATAAAATCTCATACTCTTCAAGATTTCTATGCCTCAAGTCTTATGGAATTAAAGTGAAGAGCAGGCTGATCTTGTCTTTCATTCCACAGCTTACTTACTTCAAGATAAGATACCCACCTGACTTGTAGCTAACCAGTTCAAGTCCATGTCATTGCCTCCTACTTCCCTTTTGAAATCATTGCCATGCTAGATTCATCTGGTGATTTCCACGCCAGGATGAAATTCTTCCTTCCCACCCCCCAATGCCATTATTTTTATAATTTGCTAAACTTTCACTGTTACTTACAGACCTTTCTTAATATCTGGATGAATTCATCAGTAATGCCTCTTTGTGGAATCCCCTTTTACTAAGACACAATTTAACTGTCATCTATTCAAAGAAGTTCTCCCTGATCTTCACAGCTAAAAAAGGTATCTTCTTGCAATGGCTAACTTTTAACATTTCAATACTACTACTCACATGCTAATATATTACATGCTGTTCTGTATTATGGTTGTTTCTAATCTTGTCTTATCTCTCCTACTACGCTGTAAAGTCCTTAGTCCTTTAGCACAAAGATTGTGCCTTATTCATTTATGGGGTTTGCATATAATAGAGCTTAATTTGTTCAATGAATGAACAATTCTGTAGTTGGAGAAAAAAGGTTGTAAAATGGAAAGCCCGATCTAGATAATTTATAAAACAGCTTTAAATTTTTATTCTCAAATAGATTTAAGCTGACCAAATCAGAAAGGAAAAGAATTATTTATAGTAGTTCGAAATGACATTGCTTCCTTTTCTAGAACAAAGAATAATAAAGACCACCTGTTTTAAAAATGATATGCTTTAAGATCTTCCATATTTTCATAGTTAATATACACTGCACATTTTTTAGGATCTCTGAAAGGTAATCATCTATCTGAAAGACTTCCAGAGATGAAGCGACACCTGCCAAGACAGACTATTTCACACTTGGAAAAATACAATGATGTACAAATTTCTTTCACATTTGAATAAAACCTATCCCCATACATTTTTACCCATGGAGACAAAGTATAACTTTAAATTTTAAAAATTCACTCAAAAATAAAAGTTACTATATACGTATCAATAACATAGTAACTGGATGTCATGACCATTTTGTCTTATCTACAGAACATGCACATCCTACCTATGCAAGTAAAATACTTAGCCTATAGATAACCAACTTAGAATAAAGCCTCAGTTTTATACAAAATACTAACATATCATAAAATTTAGTACATGGGTGGTTAAGAATAATATATTTAATGTATGGCATTATTAACAAATTCTGATAAGCTTCATTTAAATTATATCATAATATGTACATAAAACACACACTAGTATCTATACACTATATTAGCAGATGTGTATACACACATACCCCTACACATATATTTATATATTAATAGATGCATTTTTAAACATTAATATGTAAAACAGTTATTTCTGGCTTTAAAGTCCTTCCTAAAATGTTATATTCAACAATCTGTTAAATTCATATCCTAGTTTACCTTTATTTTTTTAACCTAACTCAAAAATGAAAAAAGTGAAAGCTACTTTCTCACTGTTTCTTAATGAGTTGATAAGGTGTACAATTATAACTTGATGAAGTTATACAAAAAAATCTCCATTACGGGCTGGGCACGGTGGCTCATGCCTGTAATCCCAGCACTTTGGGAGGCCGAGGTGGGAGGATCACTTGAGGCCAGGAGTTCGAGACCAGCCTGGTCAACATAGTGAAATCCCGTCTGTACTAAAAATACAAAAATTAGCTGGGGTTGGTGGTGCACATTGTAATCCCAGCTACTAGGGAGCCTGAGACATGAGAATCACTTGAACCTGGGAGGCAGAAGTTGCAGTGAGCCCAGATTGCACCACTGCACTCCAGCCTGGTTGACAGTGAGACTCTGTCTCAAAAAAAAAAAAAACAATCTCCATTATGTATCTTGAAATTTTTAGGAGTGAAATTTGTAAAGTGAATGAATTATAAGATTTTTAAAACTACGTCTTATGTTTGAGTTGAGGAATGTGAACAAGCAAGAGGTGAAGCACACAGGTAGAAAAGGAGACAGGAAAGCATTCAGATATCCAGGCTCCCCCACCAGAGACCACCACTTCCAGCGGGCTATAATATCACCATAGCATCTAGTGATCAGCAAGGGCAGTATATTCCTAAAAGAGCACAGAATACTCAGAAAGATCCACCGCTCAAAATATTTCTCTAACATTCCACTAAATAAAAATTCACGTTGTGATTGTTTTGAAGCAGCAAATATCATGGGGGAGGGGGATGCAAAGCCCATTAAGGCAATTCATACTTTGTCTTATGTTAATTAACCACCTTTCCTAAAATCTTATTAAAATCTACAGACATGAAAAATGTATTTGGAGAGGCAATGTACACTAGTGATATATTGATAATAAAGACATAATTTAGGCTCTGCCACTTAATATTGAAGTTCTCTTGAGCAAAGTATTTAATTTTTGTGAATCTCAGTTTCTCTGATCAACCTCACATCATGATTTTAATAAGTGACAATGTCATCCAATAAACTTTCCCACTGATCCAAGGATTGTTATTATCTACAACCTGAGAAGCGTAAGAGATGGACACAATGGAGGAAAGCAGGAGTGCAGCAGTGGGTGAGGGTGCAATGGCAGAGAACCAGAGAGATCTAGAAGGACCATTGAGACCCCAAGATGATCAAGAGAACCCAAAGGAGCAGTTCTAATAAAGAAGCAGAGAAATGGAAAAAGATCAAGTGTCCTGATTAAGCGACAACTGGTAGTACATAAATACTGATAACAAAGTATAAACCTGTATATATTTCACAGTGAAACTGGAATGGGTGTAATTACAGGATTTAACTACAAATCCCAGTCATTGCTAAATAGGTTTTCGTTTAGTTTGAGCATATATTTGAATTAAAACATCATGCCAACCTATGAGTTAAAAGTCAAGTTTTTAGACCTTTATTTTTCCAAACAATCTTCTAGAGACTTTTACTAACGAGCTTTCCCATACTTCTTGTTAGTCTTATACACGTTTAAGAATTAACTGTTATGTCAAAAGCTTATCAAAACTGATGAACAGCAACACCACCGAAAAAACCAGGTTGGCATCCTTTTTAAATTTTTGATATCCTCTCTACTCAGAATAATTAAAAGCTAATCTTGTTATGTTTCAATGAGTGAAGTAACTTTTATTTGCCCAAATGGTTCTCCTTCTTAATCTTAACAACGTTAAATTCAAAAGCAACACCTGAACTTCGGTCACTTACTTTAACACATGAAAAAGAATTCAAACTCAAACTGATCTCTTTTATTTTTAACTTTTAAAAAAATTAGCTGAGCGTGGTGGCACATGCCTGCAGTCCCAGCTACTCGGGAGGCTAAAGCAGGAGAATCACTTCAGCCCAGGAGGCAGAGGTTGCAATAAGCCGAGATCACACCACTGCACTTCAGCCTGGGTGACAGAGCAAGACTCCGTCTCAAAAAAACAAAACAAAACAAAACAATGACTTGTAACTGTAACTGCTGTATCATATTATTCATTACAGGTATTAATATTATACTTTATTTATACTGTATCTGAAATCCAGATAAAATAGTTGATTTAGCACAGAATTTCATATAATAAAGATCTACCTAAAAATAAATTCAGGACAGTTTGAAGGATATTTCAACATTGTGGTACTATTGGACAGATCTTCCAAGTGGCAATATTATGTGTCACTACTATTCAATCTTGAAGTTTAAAAATCTTTAGGAAGAATTATAATGATACTTACAGGTACTATTTTTATTTCTGACAAATTCCTGCTACAGTTTCTTTCATTATCTACTGTAGCTAATTTATTTGCAGGCTCTTTCCCTTCTATGGTAGTGGAAATCTACTGAAAACAATACCTTTATCATCTCTATTCCTAGAGGAGTTTTTACAAAACTCCTCAATTCCAACAAAAGTAAATAAACTAGTATGAACTCAAAGTCTCCCAAAACCTGTATTGTTTCCTAATATATTATTCTTATTACATTGTCTTACGTAATTTTTATCAGACTGAAGACACGCCTTGCCTTTTCTACTCTTTACTAGTCCCTTAATTTTAAATAAAGTTCCTGTATTTTAAAAACAAATGCTATTCTTTACCATTTAGGTCAAGGTTACCCATTCATTAAACATATTAGGCCCTTACCATGTGCCAGGGAAAGTTCCAGATCCTGGAGGCACAATAATGGAAAACACATGGTGTTACCCTCAAAGCGTCCCAGGGTCCAGTGTGAAGCCTTTCCTAATTACCTCTGTTGAAAGTAGATTTCTTGTCGGCCGGGCTCGGTGGCTCACGCCTGTAATCCCAGCACTTTGGGAGGCTGAGGCAGATGGATCACCTGAGATCAGGGGTTCAAGACCAGCCTGATCAACATGGAGAAACCCTGTCTCTACTAAAAATACAAAAGAGCTGGGCGTGGTGGTGCATGCCTGTAATCCCAGCTACTCGGGAGGCTGAGACAGGAGAATTGCTTGAACCTGGGAGGCGGAGACTGAGATGAGCTGAGATGGCGCCATTGCACTCCAGCCTGGGCATACAGAGCAAGACTCCATCTCAAAAAAAAAAGTAGATTTCTTTTCTCAGTGTTTAAAACTCTAAGAGTTCTTACATTTATAAGACAATGTGTGTATATGTGTGTGTGAGTGTGTGTGTCATCTATTGCTAAAATTAGAACCTATATAATAGGTACCCCAAATTATTTTCTTGATTAGAATGTTGGAGAGAAAAATTAAGAGTGTATGTATTCTGTATCAAGATAAAATTATCCCTCAGAAAAAGTACTTACTACAGATTTCAAGATTAGAATGTGTCTGTTAGTCAGAAATAAGCTAGTAGAGTCATAGAGAAGATTAGTGTTTGATAAAGAGAATGGAAAAGACTTATCAAGCAGCAAAGAGAAAGGGCTGAAGTAAAGAAGAGAAAATTTAAATTAAAAACATAAAGCTTGAACTTCCTTTCATCTCCAAAGGTGGGAGAAGGAAGTTACAGTTCTTATAGCTAAGTAGCTGAAATGCAGCATACTACTTAAAAACAATCTAAGAATACAGATGTTTCTAGGGACTCTGAATAAGCAAAGTCACTAACCTCATTAATTCTTCCACTTTATCATCTACATCTAGGTCCTCTTCTGAGGCTTCAAAACTGTATGACCTCTGACCCATGCTGTTTGCATGGTAGCGAGTTGGTGACATCTTTCCATTGGATGTAGATAATCGCTCATTATTCTCCCTCCCATTTTGATTGGTAGTGCAAGGCTGCGGGGAAGTATCATAACTGTTGCTAGGTGATGGGGACATTCCCGAATGCTGTGTCTGTGTGGAAGCTGTAGCTGTAGAGGAAGATGCTGGGACATTGTTGGTACTATTCCCATATGAACTTCCTCCATAGCTGGACCTTCTTCCAAACTTGTCACTATGCTCTTGATCAAGACGGTCCAAAGTTTCCAGGGCATGGAGAATTTCATGTTTAGTCATTCCAGTACGCCGAAGTCGCTGAAGCAGATCTATCTGCTCTATGGTAAATCTGGGTTCATCTGTATAATGAGACATGGTTTCCAGCAAACTAAAAAAAAAAAAAAAGATAAAAAGAAGTCTCTTTATTGACAGTATCTACCAAAGCACATATCATTAGAGAATGTTCAGAAGATGCAGTATTTATACACAAGCTTCTTTATTGAAAATGAAAGCATGTCCCATGCTAGAATGATTGTGCCATGGCAAATGGATTGGTACAGATACTAAATGTGTTAGTAGGTGAACATAGGTGTAACATAAAACCTAATTTCATATGGCATACAATTTACATTTTCCTCAGTTTTGGAAAATATCAGAACCAAAATTTTAGTTATGTAAATAATACCAAAACAACAGATTAGGTACATGGAATGCATTAAACCCAGGCTATGTGATAACTCAGAAGTGTTTTGCCCATCTCAAGTGTATTACTCTACATTAGAGTATTAATGGAAAATTGCTGAAAAAATAGTTTGTATTATATTATTTACCAACTATTAGCTACACAGACCTAGGAATTCTCTACAATCTCATTTAGTGTAAACAAATGATTTGCTAAGCTAAGTCCAAGCAAATACTAATAACCAGCAAAAATATTTAAGTGGAAAAGAGAGGTACATTAAAAAAAAAAAAAAAAAAAAAAAGCACCATTTCATTCACCACTTAGCAATTTCCTAAGTTTTTCATCTCTGGTAATGCATTCTCTCTTAATAGCTACCCTGAGAAAGATATTTCATGGTTGTAGCCAGACAATGCTATTCATTTTTCTTAGGAAATTACTTTTACATGTTTCCTTTAACTAGCACAAGATACTGCAGCATATCAGAAAATGTTTTCTTAGGGTGAATAACAATATTAAGAGAGTAGTCAAATACTGTAAAAATTCTCACTGTTTGAATTCCTTTGTTGTTGTTGTTGTTGTTGTTGTTTTGGACACAGAGTTTCGCTCTTGTCACCCAGGCTGGAGTGCAGTGGCGCGGCCTTGGGTCACTGCGACCTGGACCTCCTGGGTTCAACCTGCCTCAACCTCCTGAGTAGCTGGGATTACAGGCACCTGCCACCAAGCCTGGCTACTTTTGTATTTTTAGTAGAGATGGGGTTTCAACATGTTGGTCAGGCTGGTCTCAAACTCCTGACCTCAGGTGATTCGTCCACCTCGGCCTCCCAAAGTGCTGGGATTACAGGTGTGAGCCACCATGCTCGGCCTTGAATTACTTTCTTATAAGACCTGACTTTTCCATTCAAGATTTTTTGAAGTGGTAATCTCTTTTATTTTGATATTTATTGTTCTAGTGCCAAATATAATGCATGGCATGCATAGGCTCTCAATAAGTGTTTGCAGATGGAAATAGATGTCAAGAAGTTTTTTCATCTTTCTCAAACAAACATCTGCTCTGGGCCAGTGCCCCACAGCTATTGAAAGTTTCACTGTTTCTTTGTCCTTCTACATGAAAACTTTATTGAACAGTCACTTCTAGGCAGGTATTGGGTAAGAGTTTCACACATAACATAATCTCATCCAATTCTCACAGCAACTCTCGTGGTAGATGTTCTTTATTCATTTCATTTTATGTTGATGGATTGATTGTTGAGGAAACTAAGGCTCAGAGTAGTTTTATACCTTACAAAAAATCTGAGTAAACATTAGGAAAAAGATTTAAGCCTTGACTCCAAAAGCACACATCATTCTCCTTTACAATACCTTGCAGGACTTAACTGGAAACATATGATATGGGACACAGGCTATTCTACTCCTTTAAGTCTCATTTAAAGCCGTTTAGATAAAACTACTCTAATTACTGATGAACCTAGGGGTCCTAGTAATAGTTTTCTACATTTAAAATCTTTGCTCCATCTAGAATTTTTATTGACTTAACAAGTATAAAAAATTGGGGTTTTATTTCATCCCAAATGGACAGCTAGATGTCATATTTTTTATTGAATATCTGTCTTCTCCTCTGATGTGAAATGCTGCCTTTATCATATACACAATTTCCATATGAATCTGCATTACCTTTGGATAGTCTATTCCATTTTACTGATTGTTTTATTTTTCAAATTCTTTTTAAAATAAGTAGGCAGAAATCTAGAACTTTAGATGAAATCTCCCTAGTTTTAAAAACAAGCTCATTAAAATAAAACACAACCAAACACACATATTCTGTGGACCTAAACATGTTGCAGGCCATTTGTGCCCATGGGCCACAGTATCTGACCTACACCTACAAATGTTACGGTCTGATTTCTTCCGATACTCACTTGTAACAAGCTAGGCATCATTTTAAAAAGACCTATTTTCATGATTAGTATATTCTTTCTTGATGGCCTAAGTTCCCCCCACAATATTTTGTAATGAAAAATATTAAACATAAACATTATTATTTTCCCTTGAAAATGAAGTAGACCTGTTTGTTGCTATCTTCAGCCTTCATGTTATCAAAGTATTTCATAAAGTGATCTTACTTCAGATGACTTCAATAACTGTTTTATTATATGGACAAAAATTCCCAATCACAGTATTTTCCTACAGTATTCACATCAGAGCAGTTAGTTATCTGTATACAGTTCTTCAAACTATTCCTGGTATGGAGCAGCACTCTGTATTAGCATAAAACAAAAGTAAGTTATATGACTTTCACTTATTACTGAAAAGTATCCATCCTAACACTTGAATTAGAATTGTCAAAACTAAAGATTTCACAGCATATAAAACAATCTAATATTTTATGTCATTTCAGATTCATTGACTATTAGAACCACTTTTATTCCAAGTCATAAAAGGAGAAACAATAGGCCACCTATTACTTTGTCTGCCTAGAACACCTCATTGTTTTCAAGCACATGTTCTTGGGCTATCACTCATAATACCCCACCTTCTGGCCAGTGGGGTGGGCGCACAAGAAAGCCAAACCTTGTTCTCCCCACAATTTTCTAGTCAGACGAGGGGAAAGATGAACAGTCACCATAACTGTGCTCGGTTTCAGGAAGATATTAGTCTGGTAAATTCCTTATTATACGGAAGCAGCTAGTTCATGGGAAGATGAAGCAGACATACCAAGAAACTTAGAACAGACCGATGGCAAAAGTTGTGCAGTGCTCATATCCCTTGTTTCAATAATCCCTAAGCCCCTGATACATCCCTGCTCTTCTTGCTGTTTTGTTTCATCAGAGAATACATTTCCCATTATGTTTCACCTTGTTCAAATTAGATGTCTGTGCCCTGCACTGAGAGGTCCCTAATGCAAACATAACCTAAAGCAAAATGATCCACAATTGCTAGAATGATCATTCATATGATCACTACAAAGCAAAATGATTAAGAGCATAACAAACAAGATCAAAGCATGCATGTGACACTGAAGATACAATATTTTACTGAGAAAACGCTGACACTAGAAGCTCTCCTGGATATTGAGAATAATGTTCCAATGTGTACTAATATAAACAAAGGCATATACACTGGCATTTCAAAATTTTATTTCTCATAATTTACCTAGTTTAAGCACATAATCACGAATTTATGGCAGTAAATGACCTACAAAGGTCATCTAAGTCCATGATACTAGCAATTCTTTTATAACAGAAAAAGATAACATGTAAGAATTGAATTAATTTTCTTTTGCACAAGGATTGTTCACAGGATAAGGAACATCTTTCACTTTAAATTACTAATCTGAATGCAGACTCAGGCCAACAATAATTGAAAATGATGTGAGAAGAATTTCAACACTGTAATAACAGAGAATGTTTAAGGCATAAAAGAACAATTAAATTCAGGAATTATGGCTCAGTTCATAAACTGATATTCTAAGAAAATATCATACCATAAGACCATAATAACTTTCCACAATACATTTTATCCTGACTTGAATATGTACCTAAACCCTTCTTGGATAAGGCATGAGGTCCAGAATATAATTTCATAAGCTAAATTCTACAAACATATAGAGCAGAGAAGATTAAAGCATTCACAAATAATTAACCTTGAAATAACATGGGTAGAAAGGACATTACTACCTTAATTGTAAAGCACCAACAGTTAGTAAAATTTTATTGAATAACAGCTTTTTCTTTAGCGCATTTCTGCTCTTTATTTTTATTATCTAGAATGACTAGGCAAAATAGGTTAGTTTTGTTTTGCATACATGATATTTACTGCATGATAATTTAACACACTCTAGAGTCAATCACAATATTTTTATCAGAGAGTGAACTCTCCATCCTCTCAGGAATGTCACCTCATATCAAACTGTATATGTGAGTTACTGTCACAACTACTGGACTTCAAAATACATATACACTCAAGAGCTTAACAGACACTTTGGGAGCTTAGGCTGTGGCAGGGCTACTCTCTGTCGGCGGCTTCTCCAAAACCGGAGAGCTCAGGCTGCAAAAGACCTCAAAGCTTTTACACTTTGCAGGCCAGCACTTTCTAGCAATGAGGGGCCTTACTCGTGGTCTTGGATCTCAGCTATGGTGGTCAAATCAGTTTCTCCCAAGAACTGCTCATATAAAGGTACACTTCCACTTTTAGCCTTCACTTGAACACAGAGGCCTCCTTTCAGCATAATTGAGCAAAGACACTTTAATAGCTTCGGAACACACTCACAATGTGGTTAATGTACCTCATCTATTGAGTGTATTCCCTGTGAAGTCTGTCCATGTTACTCTCCCCATCTTTAAGTATTGTTAAGTCAAGAAAAAATTCTCTTTGTATGGCAATAAACACTCTGATTCATGAAATCATACGTTGATCATATTATTTCTACCATATGTAACAAAAATCCAAGTACAAACATGCACATTTATAGAGGGAGATATAAATTAGGTGTGGAATGAGAAAACTGGAGACTATTTAGACAAAAACCATCCATTTAAGTAACATTTATTGAGTGCCTACTATGTAACAGATCCTATTCGAGGCACAGAGGACACAACAAGGAACAAATCATGCAAAATTTCACAGCTTCATGATGCTTACATTCATTTCAGTAAGTATTAGACATCTTACTATTTTCAATAGCCATTAGACATCTTAACTCTCTTGAATGCTTAGCCATCTATCTCAGAAACTTCTAGGCTTTGAGCAGTTAAAAATAATAAATAATTTTATATTCAATTTAAAATTAATGTCAAAATTCAAAGTTGAAAATAGAAATGATAAAAGAGAAGGCTGATAGACTGAAAACAGCTATTAGCAAATAAATTTTTTTAAAAAGTGGGGAGAGAAACTAAGGCCCAAAGAGGTGAAGTGCCTTCCCAAGGATATAGCTACTTAGCAGAAAGTCAGGCTACAGTTCACATCTTCTAGGTCTGTTTCAGAAACTTTTCATTGTGTCATAGAATCTATTGGGGTGGGGGGGGAACTATAATGAAAAGCCTAAATAATAAGGAAAACCTCTCTTAATATCTACTTATTGTTTTATAGAACTGTCAACCAAAACGGAAGAAATTTAAGCAAAGTGGAGACTCCATCAAATTTTAGAAAATACTTATGCTAAAGGCACTCTGCATTAGACTCTAAAGATGCACTTAATGAGCTAATAGATACTCTGTCTTCTCTAATATCTGAAATTCCCGGAATACTTTTATTCAAAGGCCTATTTAATATGAACTAGTGGTTATAGTTCATATCCTAGCACAAAAACACTCTCAACACAATACCACTATCTCAATTTGTATTTTCTGCCTGACTCCAAAGAAAGGCTAGCACATTAGCTAATAGGCTTAACTACATTATCGTGCCCCCAGCAGGTAAAGGAAAATGGTTAAGGTGCTAGGAGTTTTCACACAAAAGGCAACATGAAGGTGTATGCTTCCAGTAGTCTGCTTGTCACAAGGAATCCAATACTAGCTCTCTTGAACTGTTAGCCATCTATCTTAGATGCTTCTAAGCTTTAAGCACTTAAAAATAATAAGTAATTTTATATTCAATTTAAAATTAATGTCAAAATTCAAAGCTGAAAACAGAAATGGTAAGAGAAGGCTGATAGATTTAAAGATTCATTTCTCACCACATGATCACGACACTTATTCACCTTAATGTCAAACAGGTATACCATTTGATTCATTTCCTAAAAAAACTTTTCAACTCTACGAACACCCATTGTCGAATCTGGATCATAATCATAATGACATCTTAACTTTATTAAAATGACTATGAAGATAAAAATCAAGAAGGACTTGATACTTACACCACTGGAAAGGAACTGAGCATACTTTACATGAGGTGGATCAATATCCTTTCCAGAGATGATCTGTGTTATCTACCATTCTGTAGAACAAAGATAGAAAATTGAGAAATATTTATGTTAATCAAGTGTTGAATAAAAATTTTAATTATATAACTTATGGATATCAAAAGTTAACACTAGCTAATCATGTTAAATACTGTGTCTTCTGATTTGCATTCTACTGCTTTATTCACTATACAGTTTGATCCCTTTCAATTCAGACACAGATCTTCACAAAAAAATGGTATTTACTATTCATTGTTTAGAAACTAAAGATCATGAAGACAACTTATTAGCTGGTTAAAACCATAGCCATAGAGGCACCGATTTCCATTAACTCTAAGTTAAGATTATAAATTAGACAAAAGTTAAAAATGTTGATGTCAAAAACTCTCACATTAAAATACACATTCAGTACTGAATTACATTATGCATGGCTGAAGTGTCCAACAATGACTAATGATATATGCAAAATGTACAAGGTAAAGTTAGAAACCTTTCACATTTGTATGTTCTAAATTGTAGCATTAATGAAGATCCTGTTGTAGATAATTTTCTTGCTGACTTAAAAGACAGGCCCAGGCGCGGTGGCTCACACCTGTAATCCCAGCACTTTGGGAGGCCAAGGCGGGTGGATCATCTGAGGTCAGGAGTTCGAGACCAGCCTGACCAACATGGCGAAACCCCAACTGTACTAAAAATACAAAATTTGCCAGGCGTGCTGGCACATGCCTGTAATCCCAGCTACTTGGGAAGCTGAGGCAGGAGAATCATTTGAACCTGGGAGGCGGAGGTTGCAGTGAACCGAGATCACACCATTACACTCTAGCCTGGGCCACAGAGCGAAACTCCATCTTGGGCTAGGGGGGTGAACCTGTCCTAAAAAAGTAGATATAAAGTACAAAATGAAACTACTGAAATTGTTCCTCATTGTAGTTCCTAGGCAAAATAGTAAACCAAAGACACAAAAATGATTACTGGTCAAAACACATTTTTCACTATCTGCTCAAATTCAGTTAAAACATATGAAGCACCTGCTTGCCCTGGCATAGACACAAGAACCAAAATATGAGTAAGACATGGTCCCAACAGTAGAGGAGCTTAGGAGCTCATTAAATGGCAGAAGGTGGGGAGAATAGAGACTAGGGACAAAAATTATAGACACGCCTCTCTCGAATAAAAAGTATAACATTAAAGAAAGACTAAAAATAAGACGTTTATATGAATAACAATCCAGAAACTAATTTAGGTTAGAGAGAACTAGGAAGATTTCTTAGAGTGAAATCTGGCTGTTATTTGAGGATTAGAACAAGACTTCCACAACATCAAGGCATAGAGGGAGGTGAGAATCATTGGAGGAAAGATTCCAGGAAGAGGGAACAGTGAAAAGAAATTATGAGATTTATTTAGGTAATCAGTAGGCTTGTGTTGCTGGCCTTTAACACAGTATGTGTGAGGAGTAGATGATCTAGAAGGGGATCCTGGCCTTTATTCTGTAATCATGAGAACCATGCAGCATGTTTACATGTAGCATGTTTAGCATGTAGCATGCACCATGAAAACAGAATAAAGGTCAGGATCCCCTTCCAGAGGGGATCCTTTGATAACTTCCATGCTAGGAAGTTATCATCAAAGACCCTGATTTAACAGACAAGAAAACAGATTAAGTCACTGATACAAATTTATGTAACCATAAGACACTGAATTTTGTCAGTTATATTTCAGACATAAATGGGCTTAAAATATTCTACAAAAACAAAATGTTCTAAAAACAGAGGACCAAGCAAACAAGATGTTATGAATTCTCTCAATTTCACAAAGCTCTTCTGGCAGAGGAGACAGATTATTTTTTTTCTAATTGACAGATGTTTTGAAGTTATTTTAAAAATAGATTAAGAACTAAATCAAAATGGGTATTAAGATCACATCCACACTGAGTGCAATGGCTCACACCTGTAATCACAGCTACTTAGGAGGTTGAGGCAGGAGCATCGCTTGAGGCCAGGGGTTCAAGGCTAGTTTGGGCAACACAGTGAGTCCTCTGTCTCAAAAAAAAAAAAAAAAAGAAAAAGAAACAAAAACCCAAAATACAATCACACCCATTTGAATGCCTATTATTTAAAAAATAAACATAAAACAACAAGTGTGGCAATGATGTGGAGAAAATGGAATCTTTGTATGTTACTGGCTGAAATGCAAAATGGTGAAGCCACTATGGAAAACAGTATGTCAGTTCCTCAAAAAACTAAATACAGAATTACCATATGATCCAGCGATTCCACTTTTGGATATCTATCCAAAAGAAGTAGAATCAGGCTGTGTTCACAGCAGCATTATTCACAAAAGCCAAAGGTGGGAATAACCCAAATGTCCACTGGCAGATAAATGGATAAATGAAATGTGATATATATATAAACAACAGAATATTGTCTCAGCCTTTAAAAGGAAGGAAGTTCTGACACAAAAACATGAATGAACATTGAAGACATTATGCTAAGTGAAACAACCCAATCACAAAAGGTCAAATATTATATGATTCCATTTACATGAGGTACCTAGAGTAGTCAAATTCAGAGAGACAGAAAGCAGAATGGCCGGTAAAATGGGCAAGGAATAATGAGAAGTTATTACTTAAGGGTACAGAGTTTCAATCTGTGAGGATGAAAATGTTCTGGAAATGGATGGTGGTGACTGCTGTATACTGTATGTATTTAATGACACTGAACTATATAAGTTAAAATGGTAGATTTTATGTTATGCATATTTCAACACAATAAAAAAGTAGAACATTATAATAAAAACCTTGTATTAAAAGGCATTAGGGATATAAATTTATGGATGCTGGATCACATTCAAGCACCTGGTCATAGAAAACAAGCAACCTATAAAAGAAAAAGAGAGGCCGGGCGTGGTGGCTCATGCCTGTAATCCTAGCACTTTGGGAGGCCAAGGTAGACAGATCATGAGGTCAAGAGATCAAGACCATCCTGGCTAACATGGTGAAACCCCGTCTCTACTAAACACACAAAAATTAGTTGGGCGTGGTGGCATGCACATGTAGTCCCAGCTACTCAGGAGGCTGAAGCAGGAGAATCGCTTGAACCTGGGAGGTAGAGGTTGCAGTGAGCCAAGATCATGCCACTGCACTCCAGCCTGGCGACATAGCAAGACTTGGTCTCCAAAAAAAAAAAAAAGAAAAGAAAAGAAAAAGAGATTATACAATTATAAAATATACAGTTTATGACCAAGATATGAGTTACAAACACAAAGACCAAATAACATGAGAGGTAATAAAGCAAAAATCATAACAACTTTAATAATTTTGTTTTTAAAAATATAAATGAGTTATTTCAGTATACCTTTTAGAATGAACAAATATAGTTGGAGAAAATTTTAAAAAGAGAAATTTGCTGTATTATCAATAAACATAATTTTAAAGATAAAAAGATACTTTGTAAACCTTTTAACAAAGAAGTTTTTTTTTTCTTTGTCCACTACCATAATTGATCACAAACATGGTAAAACAAAAGGTTTAATTTCATATATATAATCCAAACAATCTAGGGAAAAATGTACAAAAATAACTACTTATAAACTACAAGATAGTCATAAACAACCCTTGGATCAAAGAAGAAATCACAAAGGAAATTATGATCCACATAGCTATACACTGTGACAAAAAAAGAGGATTATTATTCATAACGAAAATCCAGGCCAGGAACGGTGGCTCATGCCTGTAATCCCAGCACTTTGGGAGGCCGAGGCGGGCAGATCATGAGGTCAGAAGTTCGAGACCAGCCTGGCCAACACAGTGAAACTCTGCCGCTACTAAAAATACAAAAATTAGCTGGGCGTGGTGGCACGCACCTGTAATCCCAGCTACTCAGGAGGCTGAGGCAGAACTGCTTGAACCTGGGTGGCAGAGGCTGCAGTGAGCGACACTGCATTCCAGCCTGAGTGACAGAGCAAGACTCTGCCTTGAGGGGGGAAAAAACCCCAGAAAACCCAAATGACCCAACAAAAGTTGTATTTAGAAGTAAATGTATGGCCTTAAAGACTTTAATATTTTAAAATTCATATTCTTACTGTTTTAAAATTTACAGCCTAAATATTTTTAAAAGTCAAAAGAAAAAACAGTATTTAAAAAACTAGAAAAATAAAATACTATACATCAAAATAAGCTAGAAAAATGAAACTAAGAAATACTAGTTGAAATTAATATAAAATGAAGCTACGGAAGGCATAAGTCCAAATGTTGGCTCTTTGAAAGACTATTAAATAATTACACAGAAAGTCTAATAAAGAAAAGAGAGAGAAAAAAACTGCTAAGATTCAGAATGAAAAGAAAAATACAGCCATGGTATTGGGGGAAAAAAAACCCTAAGAAATTATAAATGCAACCGCATGACAATTCATTTAAAAACCTAAAAGAGAAAAACGATTTCCCAGTAAAATAGAATATATCAAAGTTGACCAAAAAATAAATTCTTTAGTTGAACCAAATAGCGTAAAATAAAGGTAATTAAGAATCTACACAAAGAGGCATCAAAATCAGCTGAGTTCTCAGCAGATTCAATCTATTTTAAAAACAGAATTCTAATAATACTAGACTATAGAAAAATACAGGAAATGTTCCAATCCATTTTATGAAGCCAGAATTATTCAATAGCATACCTAATAAAGGTAGTACACAGAACATACCATTTCACTTAAAAATTAAATGTAAAAGTTCTAAGTAAAAACTCACATTAGACTATAGAGTGCAGGACATATGAGAAATAATACAGTAGTCCCCCACTTTATCTGCTGTTTTACTTTGGCTTTCTGTGGTTTCAGTAACCTGCAGTAACCATGGTCCGAAAATATTACGTGGAAAATTCCAGAAATAAACAATTCGTGAGTTTTAAAATTTGAGCCACTCTTAGTAACTTAGAAACCTCATGCCCCTCCTTCAGGGCATCCACACTGTAGACCCTACCTGCCCCTTAGTCACTTACTAGCTCTCTAGATTATCACACTGACTGTCCTGGTATCTAACAGT